GAGAGAGAGAGAGAGCGCGAGAGAAACAGAGAGGTGTGTGTGCTCGCGCGGGCGGTGTGTGTGAGAGAGAAGAGAGAGAGCAGAGCTGTGGCGTGATTGTGCTGTGCTGTGCTGTGCTGTGGCTGTGTGTGTGTGTGTGTGTGTGTGTGTGGTGTGTGTGTGTGGCGTCGACGTGTGTGCCGTGCGTGGCGTGCGTGCGTAGACGTGCGTGCCGTGCGTAAGCGTGCGTGGTGTGCGTGGCGTGAAGAGAGAGAGAGGAGGTGTGCGTGTTGTGTTGTGTTGTGTTTGTCTTTAGTGAAATCAAATAATTTATCCTGATTACTAAGTACACCTAACCGGAACAAGTCGACAAACGTGCAATAGGCCTACACCTAGCTATTGATAAAAAGCTGCTTTGATAGCTGAGAGTAATGCAAAGTAAAGGATCGGTAAAGCAATTTCTGAAATGCTCACGATGTAAACGTACTCAAGTCTAGAACAATAATATGTGTTTGTCCCGTGGGCAAATCCTAATAGCTGCCCAATACTACGAATCTGGCCGACTTGTGTGGCAGCCCTGTCATGTGAACTGTAGCACATAAAACCACGCTGATGAAACCTGTCTGGTAAATCGGGGATCCTCTTACCTCTTCTTCTCCTACTTTCTTTTTTTTCTCTCAATTTCTGAATGCTTTAGGGGAATATTTGTACAGAGCCATCGCCCGGCTTCGCTTCAAGAGGGCAGGGGGAATGGCATCCCCCAATCCCCGCGGAGGAGATTTAACGCCGCAAAAGTGTTTAAGTGACATGCGGAGCGCTGCCATAGCGCAACGCGCATAGCGCGCGCTTGCACGAGCGGGGACGCGGGGTGGCTCGAGTTTGAAAAGAAAAAGGGGTGAAAAAATAAGACCTAAAAAAATAAACCGCATTCCTTGCAGCATGTTTCTGATATTATATATATTTTACTTGTTGTTTGTTTCATTAAAAACCTCATTTATGATTGGGCAGAAGAAAAATTTGTCATCATAACCATTCCTTGGATACACAGCCATTTATGGCTAATAAGGCCGACCCAAAAAATACCTTTTGGTTCGGCGTCACGACCCCCGCTCTCACATTTCGGAGTGAAAATGTGCGACCTTGCGGTCACTTTAGAAACTTTTCAAAAAAAAAAATTTTATATATCCGACTCTTGTCATTTTACTTACCTAAAAGAGAGTCCAAAATATTGTTTTAATGATGAAAAAGATGCACAGAAAAGCGTATCGTCAAACGCAGTTTCATGCAATGTTTAGAATACCGTCTAGGAATGGTAGGAAGTAGAGGACTATACTTTTGAGCTACGCGATTGGCTGGACTGCTTTACAAATACTAACCGTAATAAACAAGATAATACCGGGGGCCTTCCATCATAATAGGCCTTCTGTTCTCATCTCCTCAGTCTTTCCCTCTTTCTCTCCTCCTCTCTCTCCTCTCAGCACACGACTCTCCTCTCTCCACCTTTTCTCACTTCTTTTTTTCTTTTTTTAAGTTTTGTTTGGGAGCAGAGGCAAGGGGGTGTTTAACACACCAAACACCCCCCCCTGCTACGCCACTCTGTTGTGTGTGTGTGTGAGTGAACGGTGTAATATATGATATATACTAACTATTATATATATATATATATATATAGTTTTCCATTATGTTCTTCTGCAGCTAGGGGGTCCGGGGCAATGCCCTCGCGGGAATTTAAAAAAAAAATTAGCCTATATTGGTGCAATTCTGGTGAATTTGAGGCCATGTGACCCGGTTCTGGAAACCGGTGCAAAACCGGCCTAAATTCCGAGCGCCTGACATGGCATTGATTCACGAGGAAAGAGACCTCTTATTCACAGTTCACAGACTAAATAAAAGCTAAATCACGCTTCACGCAAGGTGGTCCATTCACAGTTCACAGACAAAATAAATTGCAATTCACAGTTCACGAGGTATAAAAACGGCCGATCACGTTTCACGAAAATACCCTTACCCACCCTCAATGAAATGCCCGGCCAATGCATTTCGCATCGAACAAGAAAATTTTCTGCATTTTCACTCGCTGTCGGAAGTGAACGAGTGCGTCATTCATTAATTGAACAATTCAATAAAACACACACAATGTTCGAAGCACGTGGCTAATGTTTACATGCCACAGCGCCATCTCTTGGATGTTTTATACGTAAATATGGGGATTTTCAATAAAATAATGCGTTTTTAAATGTATTTACCACGATTTACGTATAGAAACTATATGTTATTTTTACTGATTTCTCCGTATCTTTCCTTGAAGTTTTCATCGTCTTTCAATGCCTTTTGATAGGTTTTCTGCGTGATTATTATTTTGCGCAGGCACTCATTTTGGAAATCCTCCAACATTTTTACTTCTTCCTTAGTAAAGTTAGTCCATGTTTCACTGTTATTTAGGAAGGAAGGTAAAACTGTGCATTCATATAAGTTCACTCTTACTTCTATAGTATGATTTCCATAATTTTGCTCTTCTGCCCATGATCATATTTCCATCATCATAAACCTACATTTTTCAGTTCGGACTCTTATCATATCGTTATAACCTCCTATATCAATAATTAAATTCCCCAAGTATAAATATTTGGTGCATTTTTTTATTACTTGGTTGCCTATTAATATATCCTTCTCTATCCTTTCTTTGTTTGTGAATTTTATAACCATTGTATTTGTTTTGTTCATATTAAATTCTTATCTTTTTGATTCAGCTAATCTGGAGCATGACTGAGCGATTTTTGTTACTGTTTTATAATCTCCAATTCCTAGAATATCGTTCATATATAATCATTGTCATCTTCTAAAACTACAGACCATCCGCTGACCGCTGTGGAGACGTGCGCCGGGCCTCGAATTTGGCGCACGTCTCCACTGCGGACAGCGCTTCATACTTCATATCATACGTTTCATCCGCGCGCAGCGCTTAGAATCAACAGCAAAGCTGTGCCACGCAATCTTGTATTATGTCTCTCTAGACATATTCGTAAACATCCGTAAACATTTTCAACCAATGATATCGTTGTTGTATTCTACTCAACGTTTTAGAAAATCCTAAATGTCCGGAGTAAACATGGTCGTGAAAAAGTTATATAGTTATAGGTGGAGAAAAGTGCTTTAATATTTCGCTAAGTAATACGCTCGTACCTTTCAAAGCTAGTTTAATACGAAATCTATCTATGCCGACACAAGAATTTGTTTCACTCACCCGCCTCGAACAAAGGCTACTCTACAGTACGTATCTACAAGGCGTACGTACGCGCGTACATGCACATGCACAAACGTACGTCGATGCACAACCGCCCATTAGTTGACGCACACGCGCGCGGCCAGCGAAATTGTTTTTCCCACTCGAGTTCCGGACCCACCATAGATAGTGTTTTGTAATATATGGTTCGTATATATATGGTTGGATTATAGTTAGTGTTAGGGTTCGCGTACGGGTTAGGGTTAGGGTTAGGGTTAGGGTTAGGGTTAGGGTTAGGGTGTATTCATTTTACATTGTTGCTTCGAGGAAGTCGAGTGAATGGAGTACGCTGATTGGCTGTGGTCAGGAACTCAAATGGGAAAAACAATTTCGCGCACGGCCAGGCGGACCGCACAGATGCATGACTCATGAGCACGTGCACACGTGCACCGAACCCATGTTACAACAAATATCTGAGTGCTAACTTCCAAAGCCCTGCAGAGATTGTGCACGGCCATCCTCTCCGACGTCAACAGCATACGTGCAAAATCACATGCTGAATTCCGCTCACCGGTAGTAGCAACCTTGCGTAATTTACGGGAATGCGGATCTAACAACTATACAAAAGCGGTGATTTGTGAGAGAGAGAGAGAGAGAGAGAGAGAGAGAGAGAGAGAGAGAGAGAGAGAGAGAGAG